AGGGTTGTACGTGGAAGAGTGCATGGTATGTCAACAGGTTAAGACAGAACACCAAAAACCGACTGGATTCTTAAATCCACAAGACGTACCCGAATGAAAATGGAAAAATATCACAATGGACTTTGTGGTTGGATTCCCGAAGTCAGCAAGAGGAAACAACGCTGTATAGGTAATAGTGGATCGATTAACAAAGTCATCTCATTTTCTTCCAGTGAAAATAACATTCAGTTTAGACCAATTGGCACAGTTGTACATTAACGAGGTTGTGAGATTACACGGCGTACTTGTGTCCATTATGTATGACAGAGACCCAAGGTTTACATCCAAATTTTGGAAAAGTCTACAAGGAGCTATGGGAACGAAGCTGAACTTTAGTACAGCATATCACCCTCAGTCCGATGGTCAATCTGAAAGGACCATCCAAACTTTGGAAGACATGCTGGGAGCATGTGTTTTGGATCTAGGGGATAGTTGGGAGTCATACATACCCCTAGTAGAATTCGCATTTAATAACAGCTTCCAAACAACTATCGGGATGGCACTGTACGAAGCTCTCTATGGTAGAAGATGTAGGTCCTCTGTTTATTGGGATAAAGTCGGGGAGAAGAGAGTTTTGGGACCAGAAATAATTGAAAAGACAATTGAGGCAATCGATAAGATCCGTGCAAGGATAAAGGCAGCACAGGATCGACAGAAGAGCTATGCGGATACAAGGAGGAAGGATTTAGAATTCAAAGTTGGAGAAAAAGTGTTTCTGAAAGTGGCACCGATAAAAGGTGTACTTAGGTTTGGCAAGAAAGGAAAGCTACGACCCCGCTATATCGGACCATTCGAGATACTTAATAGGGTCGAAAATGTAGTCTATCGGTTAGCTCTCCCACCTGGGTTATCGGCAGTGCACAACGTGTTCCATGTATCAATGATCAAGAAATACGTGCATGATCCTAATCATGTAGTGAACTATCAGTCCGTGGAAGTACAAAGGGACTTATCCTATAAAGAGGTACCAATTAGGATATTGAATCGAAAGGTGCATAAACTAAGGAACGAAGATATTCAATTGGTCAAAATACAATGGAATAATCATGAAATAGAAGAGGCCACTTGGGAAGGGGAAGAGGAAGTCAAAAAAAGTATCCAACATTATTCGTCCAATCAGAAGGTAAATTTCGAGAACGAAATTTTAATTAAGAAGTGAGGGTTGTAGAACTCCAAATAATTTTAAACACTTTAGTGGCACTAAAACATGAATATTGAATGACTAAAGTATACTTCAGATTTTTAGTCTCATTTGAGACCCATTTACGACATAGAAAACATTCGATTTGAAAAATGATATCTAAAGAAAGTTGTAGCTCTTTGAGTTAGCTTTCCAACGCACTTTGAATTACCTCAATCGGATATCCGGAGAAGAAGTTATGATAAAAATACTAAAGGCTGTACAGTATCAACCGAAGTACGCGGAATATGAAAAATCAAATTCCTATACGATTTTCTAGCACCTTCTTAAGCCTATAACTCCCACATAAATGGCACTCATATTAATGAGTATTAGGCCCTTCACTTGCCCTTAAGTTGTGAGATTTTCACCTATAAATAGGCCCCAATGCATACACATTTTTCACACCAAAACAAAAGCTTCTAAGTATAAAAGAGAGAGTTTTCAAGTCTAGAAAAAAGAGAAAGGAGAGGGAGGAAAATTAGTTTTTCCTAGAAGTTTTGGTGCTATCAAGAAGTGTTTTCCAAGCATCAATTTTCAACGGAATGTTTTTTTTTTAAAACATCAAAGGAGTGCATTTTTCAACAAAGTTCAAAGCATCAATCAAGGTAGGTAGAGGTGCAAAGTGTTAATTCGAGTTAAGTTATAAGTTTCTAGCAAATGAAAATTTATGTTAATGTTTGTATGTCTAATGGTACCTCCGAGTACGGCATGTACTTCCGGTCGAGGTGTCGTGTTAAGTCACGACTCTACGTGTTTGGGATTCTATCGAAAATCCTACCATGAAAAGGTTTCTAAAGTTACAGCTTTGAAATGTATAGCTTGATCACGAATGCACCAATGATATCTATTGAGTTTTTTTAACTCACGAGTTTAACCCCTTCTCTACAGATTGATATAATTCTACCTTGGGCTTGGATGATGGAAAAGATGGACAGTGATGCAACGAGGCCATGGAAAACCCGGTGAACAAGTTATTTAGATTTATTTTTGTTAACGTTTTCAATTTTATTTATTTAAAGTATTTGAATAACGCTGATCGCGAGAACAAGTTGAATTTTCTTCAAATAAATTACGTTCCGTTATTTTTTTAATTCAGTGTTTTATTTAAAGTATTCGAAAGGTTGTTGTTAAAATTATTATTGTAAAAATTAAGCTTCCGCTAAAACATATTCTCATATGACTAAACCACCAGTTAGTTAAGTAAAGTAAGTAGCGTTCCAGTCCAAAAAGAGTCAGGGCGTTACAAAAAGCGAGAGCAATTATTTTATATCGATTTTGTTCAAATGATAATTTTATCTCCAGAGGGAAAAAGAAAGGAAATAAAAGTTAATCTTACTTTAAACTGATCCTCTAAATTCTCCATCTCATTTTTCCCAAATGTTTACTACCAGTACTATAAATGAAGCTTATGGATCTGCAATCACATTTTATTGGACAACATCATTCCTTAATCCTAAAATTTCAATCTTCTTGAACAAAAAATGCAGTTCCATTGCAAATTAAATTCCCAAGACACAGTTCCATGTTGAATGAGACCAATACACGGGATTCCACCATCAGAAACATTTCTCAGCCAAAAAGACACAAAATACAGTAAATTCTAATTCCAAGAGTCCAGGACTAAATAATAGAACTTTTACAAAAACCCACACACGCACATATATCATATAACTATATAAATATATAACATAATTTCAGGCAGTGAAAGATAAATATGATTCAATTAAGAAAAAGAATTGGCCGACTTTGAGAGCAAATCTTCAAGGATTTATTGTTCGTCACTGGACCATTTGACGGATAGGCTGGAGTTATAAAGGAGGGCAACCTGAGAAGGACCCCACAAGGAGTTATCAGGAACCGGCAGTCCATTACTGATGGCACAGATCACATCCTGTTGTTCATGATTCTTGTAAATATCAAAATTGTTTCCATGACCATCAGAAGGATTCACAGTCGCGGCCATCTATGATCTAAATCTTAATCAATTTGCTCTAGAATGTTTTTTGGGATTTTGCATTCCCAAATTTGAGGTTAAGTGAATTGAATAGGTTGCATGTTACTTTGAAAAAGTAGAGTCAGTCTGAAAATAATTTAGCTCACGAGAGATTGAGATCAATAATTAAAATTTATTTTTATAAAGGAGAAAAAATTAGGACTATTGCAATAAAATATTTGTATGAATTCAAGTAGGAGTCGGTTGCTACTTTTAAGAAGTTAACTAAAAAGGCCCCCGATAATAACTCTTTTTGTGTGTAATCATACATTACATTCAGAGAAATAACAAAGAAAATAAAATGTAGGATTTATCCACCACCAGCATCACCCGTCTTTTGTATTTTTTACCCTTATCTCTACCTTCTTAAGGAAAGGAACAAAAAATAAATAAAACCATAGACAAAACATGAAAACTCCTGTAAAAGATTCTCCAACCAAAAAACCCATGAGAGGTAAAATCCATCTAAATGTCAAGTGAAAATCCACAATACATCAAAACCCAACTAATTAACACCCTTGGCACAGTTGGAAGGTTTTAAGGAATCATTGCTCAGATTGAAACAAAACCATGAATTCAAATAACAATAACTGACCCATCTAAAAACACAATAAATATGTCTCAAAGCTAAAGGAGTTAAAAAGGTATATTTTATCATAATCCCTTTAGGATTTTAATAAATGTAGAAAGAATACCTGATAGTTACATTACTTGAGTGGAATTCCAATATTTCTGAACAAAAACTGTGACTCAAAAGTTGGATATTTGCACCATTCATGCATATCTCTGCTAAATTTTTTAATAGTTGTTTGTATTTCCTATTTTAATGAATTACAGGTAGCATCTATTGGCTATCAGGTCCTCTGCTGTGAAAGGTGCCGTTGGAATCATTTATTTGGTCCACATGGATGTGAGTTTTGTTATGCTTACGCTGAATTTTTGAAAAGTTGCTGCTGCTGCAGCTCTCCTCTCCCCTACAAGCAAGCACAAATGGCTTACTTGATTCTATCAAGTCGGTTATAATTTGCTTAAATTGACAGTGGAATCAAACCTGGGATTTGATGCCAACTGTTGTGAAAAGTATATCATTCAAGTAGAAAACCAGACTATGGCTATTGGCATCAGTGCGACTCTTCTTGCAATGTAAAGTTTGCAAACTATGTACATGCATACATATTCATAGAAATGTGTAAAACCTCCCGTGTATGTGTATATATGTTCAAAATAGATATGTAAAATTTCAATCAGATTTCTTGAAGGAATATAAAGGTGAGGTCAAAACACAACTTTAAAGGACAGACTTGTAGAATCAATATGCTTCAAGCCAATGAATGCTATTAATTTTCCTGTAGCTCAACCATAATCTGTTTTAAAGTGCCGCTGCATAATTTAGGAACTTGATGTTCATAGGCAATGTAGCCCAAGGTTTGAGATCATCCTAATCATAATTTGACTAAATGTATTTAATTGTTAGTTAGCTAAAATCATGTTTCCTTGTAACGGCATCATTCTGGGAAAGAAATCTAATAAATGATACATATGGAACTAATATAATTTTATAACCATTAATTGTCATAAATAATCGATTCACTAGATATTCAACTAAGAACTATTGTCAAAGACTCAAAATTGATTAGTGACCAATATGAGTTAAAGACAAAAAATAAGAAAATTCAACATATTTCCAAAAACATATACAGTACATATATAATTCTTTTAAAAAAATGCAGCAAATAAAAGCACACACAACAATTGCACGCACAAAGAATTGGGATGTGGGCTGACTTGGACAGCAAATCTTCAAGTATAGACTGTTCATCTGTGGACCAATCGAGGGAGGCACTGGAGTTGGGATGGAAGGTCGCCTCGGCGTTTTCCGGCAGCGCACCGTCAATGCTGGTGGCGCCATTCGCAGTGCCATTGCTGTTGTTATCTTTGATGAATCTTCCCGAAAGGTTCGCACTCGCCGTCATCGAAAATATGTACAATTCTCAGTCGAATGGAAAATTTCAAGGAAACGTGTTGAATTATAAATCCTTCCAGTGTTTACCAGTGTTTAGGGAGTTAATTGTTTTGATGCTGGCTGAACTTTAGTCCATGTTAACTTCGAATTTTGGTTATTGAAATTAGTTTCATATTTTCGATTGCTCACTAAATTTAGATTCATGTCTTAAATTACTCGTTAAAATTTAAAATATCGAGTATTGGACACTAAATTTTGAAATATGTTGTGCGTTACTCGCTAACATAACTGTTGAATTTTGAAAATATCAAGTTTATTGTGAGAAATATATAATATTTTTTAAAGTTTAATGAGTAATGTATAACATTTTTCAAAATTCAGTTGTCAAAACATGACATTTTAAACTTTAATGAGCAATCGAAAACATGGATTTAAGTTCAGCGATCAAAATTCGACATTTTAAATTTCAGTGATCAATCAAAAATATGAACCTAAGTTCAATGACCATTAAAATAATTAACTCGTGTTTATGCTCAGAGTCAAAGAGCAATATTTTGGAGAAAATAAGATTTATATTTTTAATAAATTAAATATATTAAACATTTATTCAAGAAATTTGCTATTTGTACAATCTCTCGCAACAGTGGTCCCATGCCCTGTAGAAGAATCGCGACCCCGCCTATTGTGAGAGATACAACGCCTAGTTACATATAGCAAAATTCTTTTGTGTAAACTCGTATAAGTGTTAATCTATTATAAATTTACAATCCGACTTCCCATTCCTGTTTATAGAAATTTTCATGGCAAATGAATTCAATTAAAAATTAAATGAATAAAAATTTAGTCCTTGATTTATATAAAAATTAATTTTTTAATAGATTTTTATAAAAGTTGATAGAATGTATGATTAAAAAATTGTTAGTTCCATTAAATGTATAGTTAAAATTAATTGTTGATTTTAACTTAAATTTTAATTCAACTTTTTGGTTGAAAATAGAGAAAGTGACATTTTAAGTAAATTACATAAAAATCGAGTTAAATGTTTCATTAATCAGTGAACGTCTGAACGTTGCAATATGTGACAACTTATTCACTGAACTTTATCAATTCTCTCATTGGCCACTGAACATCACTCCGTCTAACTCCATCACTCACTCAATAAAAATCGTTAATTGACGCACTGACGTGGCTGACGGAAAAACCAGCAAGTTAAATCTTTCCAAGTGGTAAGTGTTTGCCAAATCAACTTCCACATTAGCAAAGGCGCATCCAAACAAGGCTTTAGCAATTAGGGTCCGTTTGATTGTAATTATGAAATTAAGGTGGAAAGAAAATGAATTAAAGGGAATTGAATTACGTAGAATTTGTTTTAGTGAGAATTGTCAATTAATAGTGTTTGATTGGTATAATTTTTCACTTAAAAAATGTTAAAATAAAAGTGTCTTTTGGTGTTCATTTGGCTTTATTTTTTATAGAAATTGTCAATTTAAGGAATATACACTTCTACAATTGTTTCTAGAATTTGTTTCCCAAAAAAAAAATTTTTAAATTCCAAAAATCATTTACATTTTAGTGTTCGTTTGACTTTGTTTTACATGAAAATCGTCAATTTAAGGGACATCCTCTTTTACAATTGTTCTTAGAATTTGTTCCCATTGCCAAAAATTATTTTTTAAAAAAGTTGAAAAACGTAAAACCACCTACCCCGTGGGAAAATGAATTCCCCAAAAACCAAGAATTGGTGCTTGTGCGAGACAAAGGTGAAAAATGAATTAGTGGGAAAATTTTGGCTATCAAACAAGCCAAAAATGAGAAATAGAATTTGTTTTCCATTTTTCATGGAAAAAATTGGGCTATCAAACATAGCAACACAACCAAGAATTGTAAAACCCGAACCTTTCAGTGTTAAAAATCAATTTCCCCAAATTGAACCCATGAGCGTGAATGTTATGTGCGCAGAAAATAGCCGGGTCGAGTAGTGGGCCTTTGGGCTGCTTATTAAGCTCAATCCATGCATTTAAGTCCAATCCCTTTTTAAATCCTGTTTTACCAAGTCAATGTTGTTGAGTCTATCCCTTAAGTTTGGTGTTTGTTGGTTCCAAATTGTATTTACATGGGCCACGTTCCAGTTGGTTACTCCAAATGACTTCCACTGTATTTACATGGGCCATGTTTATTCAATTTCTTCAATCATGGGTCAGTTAGTAGTCAATTGTTATTGAGTCCGTGTACGTTGATTCGGTTAGCATACGGAGTCTTTAAATATTGCTGCTGTTTATGAATGAATTACAAGAATTTATCTAGAAAAGTTGAAGTGTTACATTGAAGGCCAGGCCCCTCGAAGTGCCTATATATTTTTTACTAACAGAGCCATAACAGTGGTATCAGAGCCGCGTTCCTGTGCCATGGCTGAGGGTACACGCCAAGCTCACCTGTCTGATGCTGTTTCCATGCTTAAGGAAGAAATTGTTCACCTGCGTGAGGAACAAAATAAACAAAAACTAATGCTGGAAGTCATGTTGCAGCAACTCAGCAATTTGGCAACCAGTTATCAGCAATTAGCAGTTCACAAAAATAGCCACAATGAAGGAAATGGACGAGAAGGTTCATCCAATACTCAAGGTCAGCTTATTCCTAACCTGTTGTTTGAGGGAAATTGGGGGATACAAGCTAGAATTCTTAGGCTTGATTTTCCCAAAATTGATGGCTTAGAACCTATGGATTGGATCCTTAAAGCAAAACAATTTTTTGGGTATTTTAACACTCCTGATGAACAAAAATTAGATATTGCCTTCTTCCATATGGAAGGGAAGGCTTTTTCTTGGTTTAGCTGGTTGAAGGATTCAAGCCCTATTGGTGGATGGGATGAATTTGTTTCAGCCCTTAAAGGGAGGTTTGGGCCCTCGGCATATGAAGACCCGATTGGGGCTTTTACTAATTTAAGGCAAACATCTACTGTGGAAGAATATCAAACTGAATTTGAAGTGTTATCTAAGAAGATAAAGGGACTCACAGAAGAATTCAGGATCTCAATGTTCATTAATGGCTTAAAGGATGAATTAAAAATTATGGTTTCCATGTTCAAGCCTAACACAATTTCAGCTGCCTTTGGTTTAGCAAAATTGTAGGAAGAAGAAGTGACAAGGAGGTATACAGGTGTCTCGGGTAAGTCCTACCAATTAACACTACCAAACACCCCATCCATTACCAAGGCACTTGCTCCCATTCCCCTACCAAGACTACCACTCCCACAAGCCAAAACAAAAAATAAGACCTACCCAAATACCTTCAACCCAAATGGCAAACAAAACCTTCCCATTAAAAGAATAACCCTAGCTCAAATGCAAGAAAGAAGGGAAAAAGGGCTATGCTACTATTGTGATGAAAAGTTTCACATTGGTCACAGATGTAATAAGCCTAAAATTTTTCTGTTGGAAGGCATAGAGAAGGAAAAGAATGTTGAACTTAGAGAGGAAGAAGGAAACTTAGCAATCATTCACCCTGAAACAAAATTGGAAGAAGAACAAGGGAATTGTTGGGTAGATCGCAACGAGCTCAAATGGCGTTTCCCTGATCTTGAGGGCAAGGTCTTTTGATGGAGAGGGATATGTTATGTGCGTCGAAAATAGCCGGGTCAAGTAGTGGGCCTTTGGGCCGCTTATTAAGCTCAGTTCATGCATTTAAGTCCAGTCTGTTTTTAAGTCCTGTTTTACCAAGTCAATGTTGTTGAGTCTATTCCTTAAGTTTGGTTTTTGTTGGTTCCAGATTGTATTTACATGGGCCACGTTCCAGTTGGTTACGCCAAATGGCTTCCCCTGTATTTACATGGATCACGTTTATTCAATTTCTTCAATCATGGGTCAGTTAGTAGTCAATTGTTATTGAGTCCGTGTACGTTGATTCGGTTAGCATATGGAGTCTTTAAATATTGCTGCTGTTTATGAATGAATTACAAGAATTTATCCAAAAAAGTTGAAGTGTTACATTGGAGGCCAGGCCCCTTGAAGTGGCTACATATTTTTTACCAACAGAGCTGTAACAGTGAATCCATTTTCCCCAAATCGAACGCTTAATCGTGAAATTCATTTCCGCCAAATCTAAACGCTTAAGTGTGAAATCCATTTCCCCCAAATGTTTAATTTGAACTTCGACGAAATCGTTGACGAATTGCAGGACGCGAAAGAGGCGGAGTTTGGCAAATTGAGATCGGCAAGGGCACAAGCAGGTCACAGGCGAAATTTGCGAAAGACACACATTCATAATAAACAATGTGACATCAGTTTGGTGTTTTGGTTTTTGAGTATTGTTGTCGGAAATTATCGACAACATTTGGTGAAAGATGCATAGCAGATAAGCATTTTTGTTTTCGAGTAATGTTGCAGGAAATTAGCAGGTAGCATTCAAGTGAAAGATGCACAACGGTTCGATGTTTTTGTTTTAAGGTAATGTTGCTTTTGTATGAATGTGTGTGGATGCAAACTGGGCGTACATGGATGGATGCTTAATGATATCAATGAATGGTTGGAATTTTTGTAGCTTTATTATTTGTGTTTAAGCTTTGATCATCATTTTTCCTTTGAAACATAAATTATATTCTGTTGGGTACAAAAAAAAAAAAGAAAAATTAGAGATGACTGATCTTGAAGTTAGGTTTCTTGGTCATGATTTTACTAATTATTGATGTGGTGTTTACAATTTATTTATTTAAATGCGGTGTCTGACATTGATTCAAACGAATAAGGGCTTGAGAGGCAAATCGATTTGGGATCGTAAATTCACAGTTTACACAAAATGGGGTTTCATTTTTTGAAGTCACGTTAGTTTGGTAAAGCCATGTTTTAAGTGATGTATAGAGTTGACATGAAAGTTGATATTTCGCGCGGGTAGTCGCTAACAATTAAAAAGGGATCAGACGATTGTGTAAGGGACAAACCTCTTGAGATAAAGTTCCAAAAATGGGTGTTTTATTGGCGATGACTTTACAATTGGAACTTAAACAAAATGCTTTCAAGGGGCGCAAGCATACAAATACTGAAAAGAAATATTTTAAGTTTAAACTAAGGAATTGAAATTACATATTCTCTGTTTGAGAGTGTTTGATTCG